CCCCTCCCCCTTTTCTGATGAAGGGTCTAGGCCCGAAACGTCAGCCTTTCTGCTCCTATGATGCTGCTTGGCCTGCTGTGTTCATCCAGCTCTGCACCTTGTTGTCTCGGATTCTCCAGCATCTGCAGTTCCTACTATCTCTATCCTAGATTCTTTCTTGCCAAAGGTTCTACCAACTGGAATGAAGGGGCTCAGTTGGTTAGATTATGGAAGCTTAAACAGTAGCATTATATGCTAATGTTAGGACTCCCCTGTTTGTTAATAACAGTGACAGTGAAAGTTTTCATTTTTAAATAGGTTCAGCCACTAGTTTTGCTTTTCATTGCAAACTACTTCCTCAAATGTGGCTGAAAAGGTTTTATACTTGCATCCAATCCATAAACACATAATTATTGTACAGATGAAAACTTAGTAAAATGAAAATTAATGTCTATCCATGAAAATCTACACAGCTGCAAGTTCTCTTGCAATTTGTTTCTGTTGCTTTTGAGTGAACACATTTTTATATCTTGCATTTTACAGATAAATTGAATGCCAATAGATTGATCATTGAATTAATTTTATGTACTTGTATATTTTAAACATTGTAGGCTATTCTGGCAGGGATAAAAGTATGAGCGAATCTGCTGAATATTCATCATCTGGTTCTCTGACCAGAAGCTCCTCATACCATTCTGCAGTACGTAACACTGGTGCATCGATATCATCGATACACAGCAACCTCCTGAGCCCATCACTGCTAAGTTCTATTCGCGGGATGGATGAAAGTACAGTTACTAATACACTCACTAGGCTGGCGGCCAACAATCCTGCATTTGAAGGTGAACAACTTTTTAAACTGCGTTGAAAAAGAATTAATTAAACTATATTATTTTGGGGTTCCAAATTGCTGCACAGCCAAATTAAGTGCCTTTTTTACATAGAAAATGCAGTGCAAAATAAATATTCCATAAACATGAGTGAGATGAAAGACAAGTTAATCTATTGTTTGATGGTATTAATTGAATGATGAAAACTAATAAGACTACAGGATAACTGCTTGCATTAGTTCTGAATTATATTTGCCAAGATACTCCAGTAGTTCGATTATTGGAGCAGCGCAGACAAGAGTTGCATGTTGGAATTGCCTGGGAAATTGAATTTTCTGACTGAAAATTGCCCTCATTTGGAGCCTTCCAAAAGAGGTCAGTTGAAGTTAGAAAATCCAGAGGGTTCTGACTCTGTTAGATTTAAAAATTACCCAGGCAAAATTAGAGGACTAAAAACTGAATGTCAGGAATTACATTGACATTCAATTTAAGACTGTCAGTTGAGCTTGCACTGTGGCATGCTTGCTTATACTGGTAGCTACACGTATTAATACATTTTATCAGTTCTTCTAATCAACCTGTTTGGATGTGCTGTGCTATGTCACACTTCCAGGACAGGTGGGACTCCAGCCCTAATTTTCTGGCCTTGATCTTCTCCCTTTTCAACTCAACACAATAGGTGACTGCCATTTCCTGGTTCATTTTTCAGCAATCAATGCAATGCCCAATTTAAAATTTAAACAAATCCTGGCAGTTAACTGTCAGTCAAAATCAATCTGTCCATTCTTTGTTGCAAAACCTCTTAAAAAGCTTGGTTCACTTTTGAACCAAACAACATTCTCCTAATCTGCAGTTTAAATGTTTTATGGTAAAGAGGTATTCCAGGGAATTGTGAGTGTCATAATGAAAAGCTTCGGCAAAACGTGTTTTTTCAGTAATGATTAATTACAAGCTGTAATAATCAATATCTCTACTTTCTTTCTAGGTATAAGAATTTCAACCTTGGTTACTGTGCTGATGGAGGCTGGTGTGCTTAGTAAAAGACCAAAGTAAGATGTACCATAATTCCATGCCCTATCCAGCTGGTCATCGAAAGGAAAATGTCTGAACACCTTTGGCAACAGCAATGAATCACTAAAAACATCCTTTTAAAACCTTTTTTAATAAGATTTGATTAGAAAAAAGGCTTGTTTTGTGCATTCCAATATGTTAAAATATCAGTTAAGTATATCTGTACAAAAGCATTAACCTTTCTAGAGTACTGTTGATTTACAGCTTCAATGTAGATCTTTTCATTCTGGTTGCACCGAAGTTTCAGCCTTCTAGGTTTCAAAGTTAGCACATTTCAATAATTAAAATAGTACTCGCACTGTTCTGAAAATAAGTCTCAATCACAATATTAGAATCGTTAATTAGATTCTATCAGTTATTTAAAAACAAACTCAAACTATTTTATTTGTAGCAGGGATTTGGAGACCTAGGTAAGTGAAGCAAATCTTTTAAATACAGACTGACCTCTTCGTACCCGTAAGTTTTTACATTGGCATCAAAATGTCTCTAGGCCAGGTCCAAACCATCTGTGAACAGATACCTTTTGGAAGGTTTATTTTATTACTTCAAGAATTTATGAATTTTACAAAGTAAATATTTCCAGCAATATACTTACCTGTACCCTCAAATGTCTGTTAGAAATTCTGCTTGATCAATTTGTCGATCTTTAGTTAAATATAGTGAACATAGAAAATAAGAACAGTTAATTAATTGCCTAACATGTATATATTTGAAAAAGGTGGCTTCAAACATGTTTTAAAGACTCACGAAGCTTATTGGCGTGTAGATGTGTGTTGAAGGATTAGCATTTCTACATGCAAGTATTTTCCATCTGCCAGCATTTTCCATCTGCCAGCTCATATTACCGTCATTTTGCTGAGTTATTCAAGTCCCATTATCCTGATTCAAATTTTTTTATTCCACTTTTTGTAACAATAGCTGCTTCAAGGAATGGTGTTACGCTTTTGTCAGTCATTTGCCAAAAGTTTCTTTTCTCTCAGTTGAATACCTTTGAGCAGCAGGGCAATCATTACAATTACAGCAGAGACTTTCATTACACAGATCTTTTATTTGTTCTGATGTAATCTTTCCTCTTCAGTGGTTTGAGTAAAATAAATATTGTATGCCTATTACCTTGGGGGTTCTGTTTTTCTTCTGTTGAAGCATTTGATATCGAAGAGTATCCGGTTTCAGTACTCACTAGTGCAAGTTACATTAAGGAGCTAGTGTAAACAAGCTGTATTTTTGGATTGCATGGCAGGACAAACAAGTGGAATTACAACCAAAACTCCATCCCCTCCCGTGTCCTGTTGACAGCACCAGTTCAAATTCATACAGCTGTATAATGCTCTGTTTTTGGCACAATGCACAACTCAGGTTGTCTCCACAAAAAAAAAATCAAAGCAATTGTTTTTGTGTTGTTACAGAACAGAACAATTTCTGATTTCATCTTAGTCCTCCAACTTGTTAGAAAACTAAGCAAAGCAATTTGAAAATACATTTTATTGTATTTTAGTAACTTTGTTAAGGACTAGTCACAATGTTTTTTAATGCCAGTGTTCAATCTTTGAAATCATGAATTAATCTACAAGGAATATCATTCTGAAATTCACTCTCCCCTCAAAGGCATAAAATTGGTAAGAATTTAAGATTACGAAACTCTGACATCTAATTTTCCTGAACAATTTTGAATTACAGCACTAAACTTCAATTTATAATTTAAATCCATGAACACAGCAACATAACATTAACATTTCTTCAACTTTGAACTTTTGAATTTACTGCAATACGATTTAGTACACAAAGCTTTAATGTGACTTAATCCAGGCGAAGAGGGATGTCACTATAGTTCACAATGGACTCAGCTGCAAAGTTTCATTGTACAATCTGTACACCACATGTTAAACAAAACACTACTTGCAAAAATGTACATCAGCATTAAGAAAAATGCAACAAAATATTTGACATTCCATAATGTTTCACCACCCAAGGCTATGAAAAAATAAGTTTATTTCATATAAGCTAGTCTAGTTTTTTTTCCTCCGACTGAATTCAATGAACATTTTCAGTTTTACCAGTGGTTATCATCTAAGACAACGGTCTAAATAAAGCTTAACAGCTCACAACAAGCAAAAGTCTAGATCTTTATTACAGTCCTGATGTTCTCATGTAAATGCCAACTCCACTTGTTCAGCTGGTGCTGGTCTTAAGTCTGCATATTCTTCAGTACACCAGCCTCCACCAGCACATTAACCAAGACAGAGACCTTTATACCTAGAAACGAAGGAAATTAGCATGAAGTGAAGTGCACAGCAATTTAAAACATATTTACCAAAGATCATGTTGCTGGGTATGGAAGGTGAGAGTTAGATAAAGATAGGCTGGGACTTTTTTTTCATTGGAGCAGAGAAGGTTGAGAGAGGACCTTATTGAAGTTTATAAAATAATGAGGGGTATGGATACAGTTAATGGTAGTTGTCTTGAAATCCCACATCCTAGGGAGCCTTTTTTTAAAAAAGGTGAGAGGACAAATATTTAAAGGCCTTTTTTTTTTTTTTACACAGAGGATGGTTTGTGTATGGAATGAACTTCCTGAGAAAGTGGTGGATGTGGGTACAATTATAATATTTGAAAGACATTTGGATAAGTACATGATTAGAAAAGGTTTGGAGGGATATGGGCCAGGAGCAGGCAGGTTGGACTAGTTCGTTTGGAATTAGGTTCAGCATCGATTGGTTGGACCAAAGGGTCTGTTTTCATGCTGTACGAGTCAGAATAAAAGAAAAAGATTAGAGTAAGGAAATTCAGTCCCAGAGAATGGAAGGTACAAAATCTTACCTCGTATTCCACTTTTTCTTAAAAAAAGGGGTGTGTGAACAAAGCTGTTCTGCCATCAATGCAAACCTTGGGCTTTAACTTCCTCACCTACTCCCCAAATCTGTCCATCTCAGCATTAAATACATTCCATGAGAAATATGAACAGGAGTAGGCCATTTACCTCTAACCTGTCCCAGGTCCTCAGATGTCAACTTCCCTACCTACTTTCTCTTTTAAATACCTTCAGTCCAAACATTCACTACTCTGTAGGAGAAGAAATTCCTTTGCACCTCAGTTCAAGAAGTGGGTGTGTCCCTTTATTCTGTTACTAAATCCACTAGACAAAACATCATCTCAACTTCTACCCTGTTAGTCCCCCTCAGGATGTTTCAATAAGGTCACCCTTCATTCTTCTAAATTCTAATAAATAATTGCCTAATTGATTTAGCTGTTCTTGATAATACCTTCATCCTGGGAATCGACCTGGTGAACCTCTTTTTGAGCTGCCTTCAATGCCGATATATCCCTTCTTAAATACATGGTCCAAAACTGTATACAGTATTCTGTGGCCTAACCAACACATTGTACAGTTGGAACAAAACTCCACTTTTTTGAAAAAAGTGTAACAACCCTCAATTAATCCTTAATGTGGCTTAATTACTTGATGCAACTGCATGTGAACTGTTTGTGTATCGTGCGCAAGAACACTTGAATCCCTTACCACTTTAGTAGGAAGAAGCAAAAGGCAGACTATTACTTAAGTGCATGACTTCACATTTTCCTATCTTAAACTCTATTGGCCAAGTTTTTGCTTACTCTCAACCAGTTATACCCTTGCAGCTCTCTCATGTCCTCATTGCATGCACTCCCCATTATTCCTTATCAGCAAATTTAAGTCTGCCCCTTCCTCCACATCATTCATGAAGAATAAGTGATTGAGACCAGAGTGGCACTCCACTAGTTACATCTTTCCAACCTGAAAAAGGCCTATTTATCCAGAGTCCACATATTGGGTGTGTAAATTAATGACTCAGATGAGGAAGGTGAATGTACTATAGCCACTTTACAGAAGCAAAAATAGTGGAAAGGCAAGTGGTGCAGAAGATAGTCTGCAAATGGTCATAGGTTCAGTAAGTGGGACATAAGTTGTTCATGTCATATAATGTGGCAAGAATATAGGAGTTGAAAACTTCAGAAAGTTACAGAACAGAAGCCTTTGAGAGTCCTCACCTATGAATTACAAACAGCTAAGATCCAAATTCAGTGGGTAATGGGGAAGGCAACTGGAATGTTGGCCTGTATTTCAAAGGGGATGATGTAAAAAAGGAAAGGGAGATTTCACTAAAATTATACAAGGCACTAGCAAGGCCACAGCTGCAATACTCAAAACAGTTGTGTGCCCTTTGTCCAAGGAAAGTTTTCCTGGTATTTGGGGCAGTTCAGTGAAGGTTCATGTGGCTAATAAAAGACATTGAGGACGGTCTCAAGAAGAGGTGGAATAGGTTGGGCCTTTACTATTTGGAATTTAAGAATGACAACTGAAACATAGGATTCTTAAAGGACTTTGACAAGGTAGGTGCAGAGAGACTGTTACCCTGAGTGAGGAAAGTCCAGGACCAAGGGCATAATCTCAAAATAATGAATCACACATTTGAGAGAGCATAGCAAATTTCTTCTCAGAGGATAGTGAGTCTGTAGAATTCTTAAGGGCCCAGCCTCTGCAGTAATGTATATTCAAAACAGATATACTTTTTAAATCATCAGTAAAGGAATCAAGGGTTATAGGGAGAAGACAGGAATGGGGAGTTGACGATCTATCAGATCAGCCATGATCTCGGACTAGCAGAGCAAACTCATTAAACTGAATGGCTCCTATGTCTTAATGGCCCTAATCAATCCTCAATCCATGCTCAGACACTACTCCCAATAGTGAGCTCCTAACCTGCACAATAATGGGACAACTTGTTGACTATCTTCAGGAAATCTTAACACAGTACTTTTACTAGTTATATCCTCAAAGAACTCTATCATAACTCACTGGAGTATGGAATTCTGAAAGTGCTTAACCCTTAAGTGAAATTTCTCCTCATCTTAAATTACTGGCCCCAAACTTGAGAACGTGTCCCCTTGCTCCAGATTTCCCAACCAGGGGAGCAATACCTCAATGCCTACGATGTCAAAGTCCTTCATCATCTTAAAAATGTTACAACAAGATCACCTCTCGTTTTTCTAAATTCCAGAAAATCTAGACCCAATTTACTCAGCTTCTCTTCACAGGACAACCGACTCAGTCCCAGGACCAAAATTACAAAAAAAAATCAATTTATCAAAGATGCCAGAGGAAATTTGTTGACGTAATCAAGATAGTTGATGGTCTTTAAGACATTTGATAAAGCACCACATAATCAACTGGCTAGCAAATTTGAAGCCTGTTGGATTAAAAGGCTTTCAAAATGTAGATCTGAATTGGCAAAGAACTCAAAGCAGAAACCACAGTGCCAATTTAATTGGATTGAAGGAAAGCTATCAGTGATGTTTCCTAGGGTTATTAAATTCTTAAACATATTAATGAGTTAGACTTTGGTGTGTACAGCAAAATTTCAACCTGTATGCCCTCAACTTTCAATATACAGCAAACAGTGAAAAAGAACTTCAGGAGGGCACGGGCAATTTTAAATAGAATGCAGGAGTGTAGTGATTTTTGAATTTATATGCAGAAATCATTGCTTAAAGCTTAGATATTCTTATGCCAGAGACATTCACTGCTGGTGTGCATTGGACGTTTGAACCACAGGAAGTGGTCTGGGCCTCTGAAAATGTCTTTGACAGTAACTTCAGTTTCAGAAATAAGCAATTTTGAGTGCTACTTAATCTCAGTGGTCAACAAGAAGAGCCCATTCCACACCACCATTGCCCCCACCCCGATCTTTAAAACTGATGTGACAGCCAAAAAAGAAGTGTCTTCACTATTCTCTATGGATAACTATGAGAATTTGCTAGTGTAGCGAAGTCAGAGACCTAGCTGCAAGGACAGAAAAAAAAACTAAGGTAGCAATTATCTTTGCAGTCAGTGGCACTTCCACTGACCAGAACATCTAGTAGTAAAAATTAAGGAGGATGTCAAGGTTTGAGAGAAGATGCAATGGTCCCAAAGATGATGAACATCAGTCATGTACAGAGGTTAGTGAAGTTGAGTTGCCTTCTTTACAGCACAACGTTATAGGGAAATTTAATTTTTTATTCATAGAATAACTAAAAGGAAGCTGTTCCCCATGGTAAGATGGTTTGCAAAGCAAAAGAACCAGAGTCAACATGGTGATTTTATAATTTGGAATTCACTGATTGAAAGGAAAGTGCAAGATCATTTATTCTGAACTTTCAAAATGAAAGCAGATAAATAATCTAAGGGTCTATGGCCTAAGAGCTGGGCAGTACAATTAGTAGAGAGAACATACTCAGCATCTGCTGTGATGCCACCTCAGAATCTGGAATGTCTCAATAAGATGATGTCTCATTTTTCATTCTTCTGAACTCCAATGAGTGAAAGCTGAAACCTCAAGACAGCTCACAATCCTCCCAGCAGGTTCCACACATGCGCACACCCTCTCCACTTCAAAGCAAGACTTGCCTGTTTTTATATTCCATCCCTCTTGCAACAGAGGCTAACATTCACATTACCTTCCAAACTACGACGTACCTGCATGCGAACATTGTGATTCACACAAGGATATCCAGATCTATCTGAACCACAGAACTCTCATCTTGATAATACTTAACCTTTAAATTCTTACTAAAGTTCATTGTGCTGTATCCACATATTTTTCATCCACTCTACTCACTTAATCAATCAATCTACATCCCTTTGCAAACTTTGTCCTGCTCACAACTTGATTTCCTCTACCAATCTTCACCGATGTCATTAAATTGTAAATAGTTGAGACTGCAACACTGGTCCTTATTGCATTCCACTAGCTCTCTTCACAATCATGTGGAAAGTGAAGTAAAATTCTGGGTCACTGGCTAAGATCAACTGTTCTTACTAATTTCCTGTGAGAAGATGCTGGTTAGAACTATTTTGAACCATGTAGCGCAAGTACAGCCACTGTTGTTACAGTGTATGTTAATCTCCCAGTAAAATAATTTATACAAATCTAAGTTCTAAAGGATCCAATATTATAACAAAAATCAAAATATATGGAATGATAATTATTTGATTACAAGAATTAATATTTACTACATAGATGAAATTACACAAAAAGTGCACTCGGGTACTTGGTCACAAAAATCTGAACTTCATCAAACAAATGTAAATTGACAAATTAAAAGGACATGCAATTCTCACCTTTCAGTGCTGGATTAGTTTTCGACAATTTAGCCAAGGTCTTACTGGCTTTATTAATATCCATTCCACGGACAGCCTTAAGCAGGTGTGGGGTCAAAATACCACCATGTTTTGACTTTGACAGACTGGAGTTAAACGTTGAGGGTTTCAGTGGCCTTCGATTGGATTGAAAACCTGTTCTTTTGAAATTTGTTTTAGATTGCATTGCAACTGCTTTTTTCCAGGCACCAACTGTAAAATACAATAAACCAATAAGATGTCCTGAACATATTAATATTGCTTTGCCTATACAACTTCTTAAAAAGTCTGTATGTACTGTTTTATGGCTTCAAATTGTTTTGTATATAATTCACACGTCATGGACAAGAAAAAGAAATTTGGTCAATGAAGTTTATTCCTATCGTAAAGTTATTCTCTATTTGCAAACAAACAATTTGAGCAGTTAAAAGAAATGTAATGTACTGAAGATGTTGAGATCAAGTCATATAGGATGGAAAACATGAACTTTGCTTCTCTGTTTGCAAACCTGAGTTTTTCCACTGCATTTGTTTTTATTCCATTTGAACAGCTCTTATCTACAAAATCCAATAGTTATGCTAATTTTTTTAAAAAAATCACCTCTTGAGCAAACCAAGTTTCACTTCCATTAATTTAACCTGTCTGCATTCAGGTCTACAGAACATTAGAAATACATAAGGCAAACCATGACTTTTACTTCAGTAATTTAGTCCCTTAACATCCTCTCTAGACTGTACAGCTTGAGATTCTGTTAATTTTTCATCATAGCTCATCAGTTTATACTCAAGATCATTCTTCTAATACTGCTGTGTTCCCTTTCCAAATGTTGTGCAGTGACTAAAGTTAGCAGAGTACTCAATTCAGAGTGCATAGGTCCAGACATTTTGATAATGTCCAGCAGTCTGTTATTGTCTTGGACTAACTTTATTGTTAATTGTACTAATGTGCATTTTAGCCAAAAGGCAAGCTACATTGATTGATGGTCAATTTTACTTTTCGTTTATTTCCCCAGTTACATTGCTGATAGAAACTTGTTGGGAATTCAATCTACATTCTGTTGCAATGAGGTTTGCTGTTAGTCTTTGAAGGTATTCCAAAATGTTTTGCTCAATTTACCTTTGTATTTAGGTCTAAAGTTAGTTGAGCTGGCAGTGTATCTCTGATTGTTTCCTGGCACTGGGCGTGACAAAGCTGGATGTGGCATGCGAGATTCATATTTCGAATGTTCATCTGGTATACTGGGAAGCTGTCTCAATTCCTCATCCAAGAGGGGTCTTTTGTCTTGATTCTGATGGAAGAAAAGCATGAGAAGTCTACTGGATGCAGTAAGAATGATTAAAGCAAGGAACTATAAAAGATTTTACATGCGTAGTTGGAAAATTAGCTACTTCAGGCAGAATGTCCAAAGCGCTTTAATACTTATCTAACATAAATCTAAAAGTTGAACATTTGATTATTTTTCAAATAAACACACCTCATGTTTGCAGGAGGCATTCTGGCAGGCTAGAATTTACAAAATTTTGAGACTTCCTTCACCACAACAATTAAAAGGGATGGTTCATTTTTAAAAAAATTAGATTTAACAACATAACACTTAATACAAGGTAGTACACAGCAATTAAAACAGGTTGCTATCTGACTACGAGCAAATACATCCATCCTTTATACATTAAATATAATTAACACAAGGTGTACAGGATGCAGGTGTGAATGACCATCAATTAATCCTCACAGTAGTGAAGCATAAACTCTAAACAGAAATTTGAATAGTCACATTCTTCCTATTCACAATACCAGAAATTACTTGTTGATTTAGAATCAGGTTTGAGACACCTCGATGACCACATTACTTAAGTTACTGGTGCCCCTTAGTCTGTAACTGCACTTGTTTTGGTGGGTAACCATCAGGCATAGATATAGACCATCCTGGAGCAGAATTTCATTTCTTCACCCCCAAAAGTTTGTGGTGCTACCCATGTTTCCATTATTGGAAGGAATTAGTCAAATTTTCTGTCATCACAACTTGCTCTTCGTTAGCAAACTGCACAGCTTTAAGGGCTGCCACCTCACTAGACTAATCTTTCCCTAGTTAAAAACCACACAGTTATTCAAGTTAGAGGAAGATTCCCAGTCTCTCAATTTATCTCTGCTTGCTCTGGGCCAGACCAAGGCCATTTTTACTGGATTTGGAGAATTAGTGCTAAAGCATTTCAAACTCAGACCAAAATGACAGGAACGAACAGTGCAATTGAAAAATCCTTCCAAATACTTACTAATCCAGTCATTGTCTTGAGACGATATTCCATTAGTCCATCTGTGAGACTCTGTGTAACTTTCAAGGCAAAACTTGCGTCACTATCGCTAGTGATTTGAAAATTTTGCTGTAAGGTAATACACAAGAAAACAAATAAGAATTTATATATATTCATTGTAAGACCACACAAAAGGAAACCTCGGCCAAAATAAATGCTTACAAATCCTTGGCATTACATCCATAAAAAATTAAATTAGTATGACAGAAATAGATCAAAGCATAGCAATTTTAATTCAGTCAGCATTTGCTCCACAAGTCAAAATTTACATAAGTACCCAGAAGGGAATTATATTTTTTTGAAAGTTGAATAAGATCAAAGTTACATCATTAGGAAAATAAATAACATCAGACGTATGATGAAACACATGCTGAAATATAAGAGTTTTTTTATTTGTTCCAAGTTTTCCTTCTCTGGACCATCTCATAGCACTGTTACTTATGATCCGGAGGAAGTGGTAGATGCAGGTACAAATATAACATTTAAAAGATATATGGACAGGTACATGAATAGGAAACAGTTACAGGGATACGGGCCAAACGCAGGCAAAAGTTTAGTTTGCGAAATCTGGTCAGCATGAATGAGTTGGACCAAGGGGTCTGTTTACATGCTGTATGAGTCTAACTTCAATTCTTTTAAAATCTTCTTCACGAATAATTCATATCTGCCTTAAAAAATGCACTGTAAGACAGCTATTCATAAGAATTATAGAACCCCTACAGTGTGGAAACAGGCCATTTGGTCCAACAAGTCCACACCAACTTTCTGAAGGGCATCCCACCCAGACCCGTCCCCATACTATAACTCTTTAACCCTGCATTTCCCATGTCTAATCCATCCAGCTTACACCCTGGACACGATGGGCAATTTAGCATGGCCAACCCATCTAGCCTGCACATCTTTGGACTGTGGGAGGAAACTGGAGCACCCAGCAGAAACCCACGCAGACACGGGGAGAACATGCAAACTGCACATGGACAGTCGCCCGAGGGTGGAATTGAACCCTAGTCCCTGGTGCTGTGAGGCAGCAGTGCTAACCACAGAGCAGCTGCCCTATTATCCTTGCAAAACACCACATGAACGACAGCTCCTGTTATACTGAAAGCTAGTCATAGAGTCAGATACATACAGTGCAGAAAAGGCTCTTTGGCCCATCAAGTCTGGACCACCAGCAACTACCACTAAAGGTGTGCTAATCCCAATTTCCTGCACTTGTCCCAGATCCTTGAATGTTACGATATTTAAAATGCTCTTCCAAATAATTAAGGGTTGTAAGGTTTCTAACCTCCACTACCTTCCCAGGCTGTGCATTCCAGATACCACCACCACCTAAGTGAAAAAGCTTCTTCTCAAATCTCTGAATCTCTTACTTAAAACTACGCCCCTTTGTGAATGACCCCTCCACCAAGGGGAACAGCTGCTCCCTACTCAGCTTATCCATACCCCTCAATCTTATACAACTTAATCATCATGACGCCTCAGCCTTCTCTGTCCTAAAGAAAATAATCCCAGCCTTTCTAGTCTCTCCTTATAGGTCAATTGTTCAAATCCAGGCACCTGGTGAACCACCTCTATACCCCCTCTAGAACCATCACATCCTTGTTCAAAAAGCACAATTTATAGAGTGTGGTGTTTTATAAGTTCCCACTTTAGAAATAAAACCTGTCAGACTCCAAACCAAAATATAAACAGATTCTAAACAAGGCCTCACAACTAACATGCATTGTCTGACCTAAAACGTCACCTCTTCTTTACACTGATAAAACCTTCAGTTCTCCCAGGGCAGTGACTTGACAGAAATTCAGGGATTTACATATACATATTAATCAATTAAAACCTTTAACTAATTTAAGATTTAACAGCATCTTAGGTTTGTTTAATACATCCTCATCAGTTTTGAGGGCCTTTAATCTTTTACTTATAAATTCTGTGTTCTGTGTGCTTATTTCTCACTTCACCTGATGAAGGGGCTACACTCAAAGCTTGTGTTTTCAAATAAACCTGTTTAACCTGGTGTCGTGTGATTTCTGACCTTGTCCACCTCAGTCCAACGCCGGTACCTCCACATCATCCTTTCTGTAGTAAGGTGACCAGAACTGCATACAGTACTCCAGCTGTATCCTAACCAATGGTCTGTACAAATCCAACATTGCCTCCTTGCTTTTATGCTCTATGCCATAACTGATGGAAGCAAGTGTCCCAGATGCCTTCCTACCTATCCTATTCATGTGCTCTGCTCTGTTGACTTCAGGGATCTGTAATAATTACTCCAAGACACTCTGCTCTTCTGAGCTACCCAGTGTCCTGCTATTCATTAAATGCTCCCACATCTCGTTTCTTCTTCCAAAGTGCATCACCTCACACTTACTGGGATTAAATACCATCTGCCACTGCTCAGCCCATCTGATCAACCTACCTTTATCTTCCTACAGTCATCTTCTTCACTATTAACCACTCCACCAATCTTGGTATTGTCTGAAAACTTGCTTAATCTTCCCTCACATTTTTATATACATTACTAATATAAATGACAAACAATAAGGGTTCCAGTGCTGATTTTTATGGTACACAGAGGTCTCCTAAAATCCATATAAACTACAATCAACTGAACTGCTCACCTACAAAGCTTGTAAAAATACTTTTGAATTTGTACACATTGATTGTCCTCATTTGCACTACCTCCTCATTGATTTTTTTACAAATGCACATGTTGGTTTATACATCCTTCATCACTCCCTTAAAAGCTACTTTTCTTTTCTTAGTCACATACTTATGAGAATAACAATTTTAATTTCACTCATTTCTTATGTTCGATTTTTGTTTTAGGTTTTACTTAAATGCTTGATTGTGTGCATATAAACAGACAAATTCAAGATTACTCCACAATTCAACAAGATCATGACTGATCTGATGACTCCACGTTTCCATTTAATCCCACTTACTGAACAGGAATTTAGCTAGCTGTGCCTTAAAAATATTCTACTTTCCACTGCCTTTTGGAGGAAGAATTTCAAAGACTCATGACCAGCATCCTAATTTTCTTATCAGCTGCGCAGGCTTTTGTAGTGTTGGACTTGGGCTTAAAAATGATAGCTCCAAACCAGGGTTAATTGGACATGACAACAAGCAATTGAAGAAAGTGGAAAAAAGCAGGCAGAGTGCCCAAATGGCATGTTTTGGCTGGAAGGTAACTGCGTGACCATGGCTGGGTGGGAAACAAATATTGTGCCGTAAAGATGGGGCCACTTGGAAGTGTTTTCCAACTTGTTTTCCAGGCATTGTTATGCAGAAAAGTAATGAAAGTACTAGGAAATGGTTAGATTCAGAACAGTATTGATATCAGGGACTCTGCCACACTGATGGTATTCACGAGACCAGGGCCACGGAGCTTCACTATTGGACTGGGGTTCATGAAACCAGTGCCATGGAATCTGAGATAGAGCTCTAAGTGCCAGCATTGTCAGTCCCTGGCATGAAGACAAGACAGTGTGACTCATTACTTTGCATATCAGCACGTCGACCTACAATTCCCAGTTTTCTCCGTAAAGCCCCAGAAAATGTTATCCTCCAAATGCTGATCAAATTCCCTTCAGTTAGTACAGTGCATCCTGGATCACTGCGAAGTGCTACACAAAAAAAAATTCTTCACATTTTGCCTCCAGTTCGGTTGACAATTACTATTGATCTATGTCCTCAATCAAAATAATTTCACCTAATTCACACTAAACCCTTTATAGTTTTAAACAGCTGAAGGAAAAAAAATTCTAATTACTTTGTTTTCTAAGAAGGGCAAAACTAGCTTCTCTCAACTTTCTATTAACTGTAAACCTACATAACTGGTGCCATTTCTAGCAAATCACCTGTTATCTTTCTAAAACCTTGGCATGCTTTCTAAATAATGCTGCCCAGAAGTGGATATAAGGCCAATAATTTAGAAAGATGTAGCATGACGTTCCCAAATTGAACTGTATTTATAGTGAACTGTAGTTTTGGTTACTTATGTGTCCCAACACAATATTCTGATCTATAGGAATTAAATGTTTTTTTTCTAATGTTGTGATTCTGATGGGAGGAGTGCATTGCTAAGCTAACCCCAATAGTTCATGAAGCATACGAAGAGTAAACACCTTCTTTAATTATCAAATGGTCAATGTTTCTGTTTATTACGGTTATCTTGAAGCTAAGACTTTCAACAGGCTTATCGAATAAAGTTTGAGTTTTAAAAAAAGTTTGTTCTTAGTAAACTTGTTGACTAAAATACTATGCAGACTTAAACCATACCCCTTTAATCGCATAACAGCATACAACAAACAGACAACACAGCTCTGCAGAGATAGTGTGGGTTTGTTCAAATAGTGAAAAAACAAATAACACTCCTGTAGATCAAGAGTTCAAATACAGAGGTAGAATTTTTTTGGCTTTTCAGTTTCTTTTATTTCCTGTCTGCGAGATCTGATTGCTAACAGTTGTAGAATGATGAAAAGATCTTATCTTCAGATCAAATCGTGGATTCAGGCAGGAAACAGTAAGGAGTCCTGAAAATTGAAACTTAGCTTGTTTAAACTACTTTAAGCTGGTTTCTATTTAAACATTATTCTCTCAGACTGAAGGAAAGGGACAGCACTGCTTTTCATTGCATATCTCTCCACAGGTTGGTGTGAACTAAAAAAGCAACTTCAGTTCAGAGAATGTTGTTTAGGCAGCCTTCAATGCAGATGCAAGGGTTTTTCCAAGTCTGTCTTTCTAACAATTAACCCATAAACCCATCTCTTAAGATCTTTTCCTGAACACTTCCAAACAGGATTTTGCTCTCATAAATCCATATTAGCACTGTCTAATTTTGTCAAAATGTTCGGTCACATAATTGATTTCGTATGCTAATATTTCCCCTATTACAGACATTAGGCTGACAGTTCTCCACTCTCCTTCATCCCCCCTTCAATAATACTAGAGTTACAGTTGCTAATTTACAGTGAACAGGAATGTTTCTAAAGTCAATACAATTTTGAGAAATTAACGCATCCAATTTCTCTATTGCTACTTGCTCCAAACCTTTCAGATGAAGCTCA